CATTTTTTGTATTGCCTTTGAATAATATGGGGAACATGAATCACAACATATTGCTTGTATCGCAATATATTGAAAATCGCAATAATATTGTATCGTGGCCCAAATATCGTGATACTATCGAATCGTCACATTGTTGCCAATTCCCACCCCTAGCTGCATTGTACATCATGTCACTTAGCTTCATTAGCGTATCTGTAAATAACCAAGATAACAAATGTTAACAATGTTGTGCTGAATGATTCATGTAAATACTGTAGCAACGATATGCGCGTATATCACATTTACACTGTGAACTGCACATTTCTGCCTGGAGCTGAAGCTTTTCATCGCCCTTCTCAACAATAAAATTGTTACCCATTTGTGCCCAAATTTTTCTGAATGGTTTCATGCATATAGTCGTGTTAATAATTTCCTATGTAAACATGTTCTGCATTTATTTTCCCCAGGTTTTTTTTGTTCTTGAAAATCGTATTTGAATGTGCGGCAACACACTTGTCAGTTTCGGCTTTTTAGTTGCCGGTGGGCAAATATGTTGTATGCACCCCCTTAATGTTAAATGTGAATAGGAGGAGATCTATCTCAAAATAACTGCTTTCAACAGATCAATCTTTATTCATAAACAAATGTATTGTGTATAAAAGTCGAAGAACGTTTGATGCGAACCCAAAAAAGCGTAAATCTAGCCAATGCTATCTCACGACCAATTTGTACGAATTCGTACGAGTGATTAAAAAGTGGCTAATTCGTACTAATTCATACAACCTCACTCATACAAATTCGTACGAATTGTCTAAACCCACGTGCCACGTGACGGGTAGGTTTAGGGGCGGGGTCAGGGGTAGGTAATTCGTACGATTTCATACAAATTGGCCAATTCGTAAAATATGTACGATTTAGCAAAAATCATACTAATTCGTATGAGTGAGGTCGTACGAATTGTTACGAATTAGCCACCTCGTAAAATACGTACGAATTCCCATGAGATCGGGTTGATCTAGCTTATAATGTCTTGAATATGAAAACACAACAAACAACAAATCCATTTGTCTTAAACCTTGTGCGCTGTTTGGGGTCTTTTTGACCCACATTTCTAACTTTCATTTATGGGGATAACATGGATAATTTTACATGGTTTAGTGTACGATTTTTGCCCATCTTTTGGAAAATGCCGTTTTAAAAGTAATAAATTATCACTTTAACCAGTAGATGGCTGCAGAGCTCCATTATTTGCTATTTGCTATTTGACTAAATGAAAGACATATTTTCACAAGTTTTTCCAGTTGTATTCATATCTACATATTATGAAATCTCAATTATAACAATAAAAATTACTTTTTGTCGAAGTTTGTACTGGAAAAATACTGGAAAATCTGTTTTTCAATAATGTTATATTATGATTAGAATCAAACAATTTTTGTCAATGGACAAAATTCATCCTCAAAATCAGAAAGAACACACATAGACAGAAATTAAATGTGGCACACTTCACACATTTTTTTTTTGAATTATATGAAAAACAGTTGTTTGAAATAAATGATAAACTCTAAAGACTCCAACTTTTCTCTTTGTAACGTCCTGATCAGGTTTGATTCTAATCATAATGTAACATTATTGAAAAACAGATTTTTTTTCCAGTACAAAAACTGCAAATTTTTGACAAAAAGTAACTTTCATTGTTATAATTATGATTTCATAATATGTAGATATGCATATATCAAAAATGTAATTTGTTCCAAAATGTAACAAATTACATTTGTACAAAATTTGTACAAAATATGTAAAAAATTTGTTACAAAATTACATTTTGTTGCCTGGGGTCTCTGAGACAACAAACAGCCCAACTGTAAACCTCAAATGAACAAACGCACAAAGTTGTAGCGTGCAGAACAAAGTGCAGCCATAAGGGCATTGTGTATCAAAAAGTTAAATGAAAATAAATAAATGAAGAGTTCAGATGCAAAAGCCTCTAAGTGCCATTTGAAATTTTCTTCTAAAATGATCATTTTTATCAAGCTTGTATATTTAAGTTCAGTAACTTCACTTAAATGGCAATGAAGATTACCTATTAATTGTCATTTAAGTCAAATTACTGAACTTAAATATACAAGCTTGATAAAAATGGTCATTTTAGAAGAAAATTTCAAATGGCATTTAGAGGCTTTTGCATCTGAACTCTTCAAATACAAATAATTAGAATGAAAAAAAAAATTATATATATATATATATATATATGAAGAGTTCAGATGCAAAAGCCTCCAAATGCCATTTGAAATTTTCTTCTTTAATGATGATTTTTATCAAACTTGTATATTTAAGTTCAGTAATTTCACTTTTAATGGCAATGATAATTACCTATTAATTGTTATTTAAGTGAAATTACTGAACTTAAATATACAAGTTGATAAAAATCATCATTAAAGAAGAAACTTTTAAATGGCATTTAGAGGCTTTTGCATCTGAACTCTTCATATATATATATATATATATATATATATAACAAAAAAAATGACAAAATGACAAAAAACTAAAATAACAGTGCATACAGACAGTACTAATGAACAGTAGAGATATCATTTTAAAGGGTAAAGTTATGTTTATGCACTAAACAAGTCCAGTAAACTTGAATTATTAATCTATTAACACAGTATACCCCATTTCCCCATGATATATGTACTTACAAGGCATTTGCCCACCGGCAACTATAGTGGCCGCTTGGACTTTTGACTAAGTATACAAAAAACTATAGATCTATTGTAAGATTTGTTTTGTTTGGAGGATTCTAGAGACCTTCATGATTATGTAGATATATATATGTTAACAAAAAATACTTCTTAGTAATATGAAAATGAGCTTTCTTTGGGAGGGTTTGCCTTCGCCATGCTTCCTGGAAGTAGGGGTAGGAAGTTGATAGCCTCATGTGACAGGAAGGAAGTGAATACCTTTTTTTTCTCTTGAAATCCTTTAAATGGTTGTTTCCTTGCATGGCATTGATACATACAACATGGATAACATCTATAAAAATACTTACAAAAGGAAAATGACAACTATACACTGCGGCAACTATAGTTGCCGGTGGGCTTAAATGGCTTTTAATATAACCCTCCAATGCATAGTTAAGGCCCTTTGGGCAACCCGGTCTCACCCCAAGACGTCATATAACTGACGTTTTGGGACGTCTTTTGACCATACGTCAATATTCGCCTTTTTAGGGCCCCCTTAAACGTCGGTAGATGAGGTTATGGGATCCTAACTCTACCCCATACCTAAACCTAACCCTAAACCTAACCCGTCACCTAACTGACGTTAAAGGTAAAGCGTCAGTTGTATGACGTCCCGGGATCGCCATCTACCGACGTTTAAGGGGGCCCTAAAAAGGCTGATATTGACGTATGGTCAAAATACGTCCCAAAACGTCAGTTATATGACGTTTTGGGATGAGACTGTGTTACTTTGGGTGACTTTAAGATGATATATAATCGTTCTGTCTCCAAAAATCACCAATTGTCTCCTACTGTACTCTTACCGCTGCCATAGCGTCTGTCCCCGAACTCTGTGTCCGAGTGAATGGAGGGGGCGTGGCTTAGGCATAGGTCAATTACACGTATGCTGGAAAAAGTAGTAAAATAATTAGTGTTGCTTCTTTTACTTGGTCCTCCGTGAGCGCGACCAAAGGAGAAACCACAACGACCACAGGGTTTCACTGCGTCCCTCTTCTTAGCAACCATCGGAGCCAGTTGATAAATTAACTTTTGCCAAATCCCGTAGGAAGGACTGCAAACACATCTTTCCAATCGACAAATGCCTTGATTGCAGTTCTCTGTTTAGAATGAATGCGCTGTTGATTTCTTTTACAATGCGATAGAGGAATCTATACATCTCAATTCTCCAGCAGCGGCCATCTTTGAGAGAAACCAGTACAACCCAAGCACTCTTTGATAACGTGATGATTACTAAACTTCAGATCTGTCCATCATCGTATATAGCCCGCCCTGGCAATTTGATTGGCCCGACGATTTCTGAACCGATCATAATTACTCCTCAATGGATCCGAGCTGTGACATAAACAAAACGCTATTGGCTATTTTTAAAAAGGGGAGGAGCTGCTTGTTATGCCCTGCCCTGTCTTCCTGTTTCAGTGAAAATTACATCTGAATAACGCTCTGTGTTATAAGGCACTTCAGTGGGTCAGTTTGCAAAGTGAAAGAAAACACAAAGATATCTATCAAAGATAGATTTTACCAACACTCAAACTGATAGCTTCGCCTGGCTGACTTTAAAAAAGTCAGAAGGCTTTCATCATATTCACAGTTTAGTTAAGCATGTGAATTGTCAGTGTGACACTGCGGACATGTTGAAGATGCTGTGTTTGGGTCTCTGTGTGTTCACGGGCGACGTGACAAAGATACTTAATTAACCCTCACTGTCACGTTGCATGAGTTGCCTTACATGTCCACACTTGTCAGTTTCGGCTTTTTTATGTGTGCGTCATATTGGTTCTCAATGTACTGGTTTATTTTCTAGTTGTTGGAAATACTGGTTAATATTTGTTTTTTGTTTTCTTGATATTTTGTGACTTTTTCTCATTTATCATGATGAACATGCATGCAAAGTTTCAACATGCTGATGTGTTTTGACATATACAAACAAAATTACTGTTATGTTCGTGATGTTCACGGGTCAATTTGACCCACACATTTTAAAGTTCTAAAGCAACTGTACTGACACAAAATAATAATTTTTTTTGGTTATATTTTGTTATTTTGTATTTTTACAACCGTATGAAGCTAAAAAAACACACACACACACACACACACACTCTGTCTCTCCTAGCGCTACGGTTAGTAAAAGGAGAGAATATACAGTTTGTACAGAATAAAAACCATTATGTCTTTGGAGAGTCCCCATTTATGTGTGTGTGTGTGTGTGTGTGTGTGTGTGTGTGTGTGTGTGTGTTGGTTTTTGTGAATTACGAGGACATTTCACATGAATACACACAACACTATGGGGACATTTTGAATTATGGGGACATGACCGGTGTCCTCATAATTCTAACAGTGTAGAAGTGCTTCTATACCTAGAGGGAGCTCAAATCCAAAATTTCTCCACAAGTCCCCATAGTTCACATTTACATGATTTTGTGTAAAACGTGTGTATCGAGACAGTGCCCCTGTAGGTGGGTCTGGGGTACTGCACCTCCTCATGAATATTCACACTTGTGTATGAAATCGCAGTTTGTGATTGGCTGTGACCGCCGGAAGTCCTCATAATTTCGGGTTTTGTCAGACCACTGTGTTGATGTGTTTACCTCACACGAGTTAATGCAGTTTACTAACTATTTAAACATTATTGTTTTATAATTTATCAATTGTCAATGAAATATATAAATGCAGAGTGACCCTGCAATGATAAATAATCCGTAAATATCATATTATGAAAAATGAAAATAGCTTGAAAGCTGTTCGCAATCAGTTTAATGGAGAAACGCGACCCTAACCACACTATTAACTGCTATATCATAGACTATATCATAGATGGCTATTTACATACATAATGGTATTATTATTCTACAATATCGTTTATTATAATCCATATGGTCTAATAATCATAGTTTAGCGTCGCGTTTATTTCCTGTTTGGACCGGGTGGAAACTGCAGCTGAGAAGACACCTGTGATTTGGACCTGTTTAAAGCAACTATTACTGGAAAGGTAAGCTTTACTGCTGTTTAATAGCTTGTAGGTCAGTTTGTCTTGTTTGTGCATGTCTTGTAAGCTCTTTGCTGCTCGGTTTACTGTAATGAAGCCGCTAGCGCCAGATGCTAACGATGCTAACGACCTTTACAGTGATCGCCATTCTGTTTACAGACTGTCAGGAGAGAATATGAGATGTTTGACAGTTTAACTAGTTTTAGTTTGCAATATAATTGTAATTGTAACATAAAATAGGCTAGCCATGATCAAAATAAGGAGATGTCATGACTCTGTGAAGGGGCGAGGTTTCCCCAGTACAGTATCCCCTGACATGCTACTGTAAATATTACTGCAGTTCTGCTGGCTTTAGAGATTGGTCATGTGCTCTTATTCCTCCTGCATGTAATACCATATAATCTGTACTAATAGAACTGTCAGTCTTAATGTTTATACTGAAAACAAACCTGCTGAATATGTCAAATGAAATGCAATATTGAGTATTAATGAGGGTCTTTTGACTAGTATTAATGAGGGTCTTTTCTATGACAGCAGACACTCTGAGAGCCCAAGCCACTGGATGAGGCGTAGTTTTCACTTCAGAACAAAGACAGATTCATCAATGATTTTAAAGGTGAGTTAAATGGTTTGATAGAGTTAAGTTTAAGTGAAGTGAAGTGAAGTTTAAGTGAAATTAATGTGTTTAATAAAGCTGTGTCATGTACATGATATGTTATTTACAGTGATGGTGTTTCTTCTTCTCTGTTGTTGTGTAGGGAGAGGAGTGTTCAGTTGCTCTGAGTTTCATAAGGGAGATTTCCTGCTTGAATATGGAGGAGACTAAGAAAAGAAGAAGAACGAGAGCGAAGGCAATGAGTATCTCATCATGACGAGTTTCATTACGATGGAAAACTCCTCTGGTATGTACAAGTGTTTGATGCGTATGTAACCTTTGTACTTATAGCCCAGATTCGATCACGAGTGGACGAGGGACACACATTCCTGTTTACACCTGGTGTTTTAATCCGTCTTTTGCCACTTTAACCACAGATTTCTTCGTGGTGAGGGTAGATCTTTTTCGATCTAATTGATGAAATAAGCTTACGCAATTTACATATGAGCGCGACCAGCATACACATGTGTTTTATTTTCAACTGTTTATGTTCACTTAAAGGGAAACTTCACCTCTGGGAAGATAAATGTGTATTTAAAATTGGTCATTTATATAGTAGAAATATTAAATTATTTTTGAAATTGAAGCATTCTAGACTGAGAAAATGTATTTTTTACTCATGTGGCTGAAAGATGACAACTCCCAGAATGCACTTGCTTTGCTGCCCTTACGAGGCCACTCCCAAACCACGCCTACCAGTTACAGGCGGCAGAATCCAAAAAATTAATACAACTACGCTTGCTTTGATACATCGTGAGTTATTTGATAAATTTACATCGAAATGGTGCTAAATTGCATTGTACCGGGATGTACTAGCCTAATGTATATAACACAACTTAGACTTTCACAGTAAAAATATGATGTCAGGCAGGACCATGTCAACACAGTAGCTTAGTAGCTCTGCTTATGAACTGTTTTCCTCCAATTGAAATCACTATTTCTCTAAGTTAATACATTGTCTAGGCTAATCCATACTAACACTAAAGATTTATTAAAAGAACCACAACCAATGTGAGTTATAACTTTTAATTAAAAAAATAATTATTAACACTTTTACTCTCAAAGCTCTGCGGATTCAGTGATCTCACCAGACGTAATGGCATCGCTGAGATTCGCGACAGCAATAGGACTATATCTGTTTCCATAGGTGCAGAGCGAAAGCACTCACGTGGCCCAGCTCGAGTCTGGCTGGGCTCAGGTCTCGCTCCGGCCGCCTCTTGTTCCTCCATCTCCCGCAACTGTTTATCGCTGTATTGCGGCTCGTACAGATAGCCGCGAGCATCAGATTCTCGGTCGCCCCAGCTGGAGTCTGTCTTGCTCCGGCCGACTCTTGTTCCTCCATCTCCCGCAACAGGCTCCCGCGAGCATCAGATTCTCTCAACAGATCTTTGAAATCCCCTTCTGCCATTTCAACTTCAAAACTACCTTACACCATCGTGATTAGCCTACTATACAAACTTTCTATACAGACCAAGAGGCAAGAGCCGTTAGCTTAGCTTCTACAGAAAGACGGCTGACACGATCTTTACATTCGGTCAGTGAGATCCCGCCCCATATGGGCGTGGTGAAAACATGCTGAACACTGACTGTAGTCTTTAGCCTCTGGCCCAAAAATCCTCCGATGATGCAAAATGACGATTTTTGCGTTATCGGAGGATTTTTTCCAGACTAAAAATGAATTTTTCTCTCATATCAGGGTAGGGTTGGGAATCGTGGCAAATTTTCCGGTTCTGATTCCGGTTCCGCCAAACGATTCCGGTTCCGGTTCCCATTAATTAAAAAATATTAGTAAGAGATAAATCCACAATCCTTTTTCTGTTTATTTCTTATAGTACTTGACAAATGAGTTTAACAGACTGGTAATGTAAATAAATTGAACATATTATCAAGCAATTTTTGCACAAAAAAATAAAATTCTGAAGAAAAAAAATTCTGCATTCTAGAATAATAGGCTATAGGACCTCTCCTTGCTTATTGTATCTCCAACAGTGAAGAATACCCTCCCAGAAGGGGTAGAATATGCTTGAACACACATGCAAGATGTGTAAAGAACAGATTATTTTTTTAAACGGTTTGAATGATTGATTCATAAAGACTTTACTTCTTTCATTACTGGATAAATCGGCGCTCTAACAGAACTGCATGCGTCTTGCGGAAGAACATTGTTGCCGGAGCTACTTTTCTCTGTTTATGTCCATGACGAGTCACCATGCGAGTCGCGCAGGCATTGGGCTACCCCGCAGCAGCTGCGATCCGCCGGCCAGTCTAAACAAGAAGTCAGAGTATTAACGCTTATTACAGGCTTAACGTAGTGATTCAAGATAAGACAAAAACACGATTTTAATAAAAGGCATTCATGATGCACTCGCTCTTTGTATACATATTGTAAATTCTGAACACACAAAAAGTTACGGACTGAACCGAAACTTAGGAATTTTACACGGTTCCGGTATTTTTTCAAAAACACAACCGGTTCTGGATAAGAACCGGTTCTCGGTTCCCAACCCTATATGAGGGGGGAGAAGCACGGTAATTCGAAAATACTACTGGCTTTCTACTGATACAAAGCTTAATGCTAAATCCTGAAGTATCCCTTTAAGACCAACTGTGTTTCATTTTGACATAATTTTGTGTGAATTTGTCTGTTCAAGCTTGAACTGTCATTTGTTTAGTGTTGATCAGCCCGAGATGACGGTTCCCTTGGTTGACCATATGAACCCGACCTGCAGGATGAAGACTATCGCTGTGGATGGAAAACCTCAGCTATGCTTGTTTGCTCCAAACAATGAAGAGATCACATATAATCATGGTGATCCTGAGTGGCCAAGTGATGCACGGTATGGAAACTTCACATTAACTATTTTTAATTTGTTGGATTATTTTAAAGGTTAATGTTACCCAAGGTAATGTTCATGTGTGTCAGTGTTAGTGTGTGACTTACACCTTATTTATGAGGATATCTGTTTTATGAGGACATCATCATCATAAGGTGTTCTTGATGTTTGACTTGTCTGAAGAATCGGTGTGTGTGTGTGTTTGACAAAAGCCTGCTTTATGAGGACACAGGGGTGCACTGATATGGAATATTAAAATTGATCCTGATAACCCATAACTTGTAGCTCATTGTGGCCAATACTGATATAGAGAACTCATATTTAGGGGCCAAGCCCCGAAGGGGATAGCCCCTATTGTATCTGTTAGTTTTCTTATTATTATTATTATTATTATTATTATTATTCCGTAAATGGAAGTCTATGGCAGCCCTATGAACCGTAAGTAGGAAAATGATGAAATTTGGCACACTTGTAGTGATGGTAATTATTAGTAATTGGTCCAATTTTTGACCCTCTAGGACCAACTCTATAGCGCCACCACCAGTTCAAAAATTCAACATTGAAATGGTTATAACTTTTGAACCCTTTGCTCTAGAGACATGAAACTTAGTACACCTGATTCCTCTCATCATGCTGATCACAACCAATACCTTACATTAAGACCCCGCCCATTACAGTAGAGGCCATTTTGAAATGTACAGTATTCAGTTTTTTCCCTACTCCTCCTTCAAATTTTGTCCAATTCTGTCCAAAATTTGCTCAAATGATCTTCGGACTGAGCCGCACAGAAATGACTGAACAGATTTTTTTTATTCATCTTTGTTCAAAAGTTATGGTGTCGCAAACTTAACGAGGTCCACCCAAAATTGGCTAAGAGGCTGTATCTCGGCCAAAATTGAATCAATCGAAACGAAAATTGGTACGCTTCATCGGAAGCATGTTCTGAGGTTCCATACCAAAGTTGGGAATAGCGCCACCTACGGGTCATGAGATATGAAAAATTGCTATTTTGGCCAATAACTTTTGAACAGTTTTTCAGAAAATCATAAATGTGGTATCTATGGATTCTTTGGATCATGCCGAATCCATGGATATCGATTTTGCCATGATGGGCTATACCTCGTGTCCGCCATTTTGAATTTTGTCATAATTTGCAATATCTTTAAACCTCTTTGAAATTTCTTGACAAATTGGGCATGGATCATCATTAGCATGCCCTGAAGGTACATGAGAAGTTTTATCACAGCGCCACCTAGTGTTCCCAAGTTATAAGGTTTTTTGTAAAGATGCTTATAACTTTTGCAAATATTGTTCAAAATGTAATTTCTTCATATCAATATGTTCCTTGGCTTATAACGATTCCACCGATGTCTCATTTTTCATTTTCCAACAATGTGACTGTCCGCCATATTGGAGCAAATGAAAAACCATTTTTTCGCTACTCCTCCTGCAAATCTTGCTCGAATTTGTTTAAAATTTTGTCAGATAATCTTTGGACCGAGCCGCACAGAAATGACTGAACAGATTTTTGATATTCGCTATCGTTTGAGAGATATTTGCCTCCAAAGTTGACCTAGCCTGTGTTTGTTGACTTATGCTAGTTAGCTTAGCATAATAATTGTTTAGCATGCTAACCAGGTGCAATTCTTTTGAATGCGGCTCTTCAGCTATCAGGATAACCATTAGCTACGTTAGCATTGAGCTAGCTTAGCATGCTAATTGCATTAACATGATTTTGTGTGCTTATTCTTATACTGAAGGATCTCCTCTGCAGCTCAGTTATTTGCGTCTTCTGTGTGGCGCAAGCTGCTAAACCACGTGTCACGAATCCCGAACCATTGCGGTCGTGGGTTCAAATCCTGTGTGGCACATGCCCAGACCGCAAGAGGTACTGTGGCCTTAAGTGGTGGAAAAGTTGTTTCAGTTCTAGACATGGTGTCTGTCTGAGAAAGGACTTCCAAAAATATAACATGCAGCAAATTTATATATTAAAAAAATCTTAATTTTGAGGTTATTTTCACTTGTACTACTGACCCAACAGTTTTTTTTTTTCCAAATGTCGGAGTTGCTGCTGCTTCCGGGCTTGGCCCCTGCATTGCTGCTTGCAGCTATATTTAGGGGCCAAGCCCCGAAGGGGATAGCCCCTATTGTATCTGTTAGTATTCTTATTATTAGGGGCCAAGCCCCGAAGGGGATAGCCCCTATTGTATCTGTTAGTATTCTTATTATTATTATTATTATTATTATTCTTCTTCCGCCAATGGAAGTCTATGGCAGCCCTATGAACCGTAAGTAGGAAAATGTTGAAATTTGGCACACTTGTAGTGATGGTAATTATTAGTAATTGGTCCAATTTTT